CCAGGAGTTGAAGCTGTATCACGATTTTACACTTCCAGTGTATGAAAGGCTTTACTTCTTAATGTTTCTGCCCGTTTCTTTAGTCGGCGTTTGTTTTATTTGTGGGTTCAAATTTGCTGCACAGGAAACTCGTATTTAATGGACTACTATTTTAATTTTAAAAAGTATTTGGATGTGTGGAAAGCCACCACCTCCAGCTTGCAGGTTTTTTTTTTAAGTTATGCTCTCTCCAAAAAGCTACCTAATTAAAATATAGGTTAATCTTTTAAAGAGGGTTGGTGAAGATCACGTGCAAAAAAACAATGATGTATCAGAAAAATACAAGATGACTCAACCTGTAGCTTGTGTCAAATATAATGACATGTCAGTTTCCTGCTTCCTGTTTCATCTACAGCAGCAGGAAACCTGCCAATACATTCCCAAAGCCTCAAAAAGAAAAAAGAGTGAAAGAGTGGTGCAGGCGGAGAGCCAATTCTACTTTTGTGCAGTCTGAGGAGCAGCCATCACTTTGATAGGATTGAGAATCAAATGTTACGTAGCAATACTTTGCAGAGGTTGGTGTCATTTTAGTGGGAATAAGAATCGTGGTGGACGCTGCACCTGCCAATTTTTGGAGAAGTTGTTGCAGTAGTGTCTACCATATCCATTTAGCAGTTCCAACTTTTGGCACAGCAATTTTGCGGTGCTCCTCAGATGCCAAAACCGCTATTTGGGAGGAGAACCTTGAAAATGCATGAAATTGGTACTAGATTGTGAAAAAGATGTACAAATGGCCCCTTACATCTTGTTGGAGTGGACGGGAAAAAGAAAACAACCTTTCCTTTGAGCACAAAGAGACAAAGAGAAAATAAAGAGGCCCCCAAAATATTCCAGAAGAGATATTATCTGCATTAAACATTATAATCACTGGTCTTTCTCTGCCTTTGCTGCGACTCTCTCTGTGAAACACACATCAGCAAACACAGATTTTTAAACGTAACATTTCTCTGAGCACAGGAAGCGTTTCTAGTGAATAGCCTTTGACTTCTTGATATGCGGGCGTGTCTTCAGAGAGGCATTGACACGGACGCCTCCCCCGGGTGACGAACGCTAAGAATTCTGAAGTATAATGAAGAGTCCTTGAAAATAAATTCAAAAGTTGAAGCTGAACCTGAAAGCGGAAACACATAATGATCCTAAGAACACAAGCACATTCACTGAGGAATAGTTGCAAAAAAGGAAGAAAGAGAGGGCTGAGGAAATGGCCTGCTCAGTAAAAATTTTTTTTATTTAAAGCCTGTGGTGAGATTTGAAACCGGCTGTACATGCAACATAACCCTCAGGCATCTTGTATCTGAAGGAATTGTGCTCGGAAAAGTGGTCAAACTTTTTTAGCGAGCTGTTGTCAGAACTGTTGAAAACCTCTACAAGAGGTTGCAGATGCCAGGGGGATTGGCATACTACAATTTGTTGACAGAAGAGTATTAACTTTATCGCTATTCTTATTTAATAAATCACATAAAATATATTTTTCTTGAGAATGTTTGAAGGTACAAAATCCTTACCTTCTTCTAGTTCATCAAGTCAATTTTATCATGTGCTTCTGTGACCATAATGACCCACACCCACCAGAGGTTCAAAACCTGGGACACCACAATGGCTTTTAGAACTAAAGAAGCCTCTTGGTTGTGAAGCAAATATAAAATCAATTTTATTTATATGGCACCAACAGTCATCGTAGTTACGGATGGGAGTTGAGAACCGGTTCCCACTGTTTCAATTAATTGGAATTGTTTGCCATTTTTGCCAACTATCGATTCCAGTCGCCTCGAATGACGTCACCACGTTGCGGAGCGTCATTTACCTGGCAGGAAACACGGCGCCTAAGTGGCACAAACGCTCAAAAGTTTGGTTATACTTTTTCATTTCAGGGAGGAAACACTACGAATATGCAAAAGCATTTGCTCACAAAACACGCGATGACCTTAAATGAATGTCGTGTTTTTAATTCCGCTCCGGACTCGTGAATCTCAACCCAGCAGCAGCGGTAACGTTTGCACGTCCTCTCCCGTTAATGCGGCAGGTAAACTAACAGTGCATATTATGTTAGCGCGATCTGTCTTATTACAAAACCTGCCATTAGTGTGCATTTAGGTGACAATGATGAGAGAGACAGAGTCTGGCTCAGATGCTGGCAGTTCTCGCTGCAGACTACTGGTAGCGTCTCCTTTCAGGCCAGGATAGACGAATGTCACCGAGCAGTGACTACGTTTGTGGTCAAAGGCTTG